ATGGTGTTTTATGTAGTGATGATGATGGATGGTGTTATATGTAGTGATGATGGATGATGTTATATGTAGTGATGATGGATGTTGTTATATGTAGTGATCATGGATGGTGTTATATGTAGTGATGATGGATAGTGCTATATGTAGTGATGATGGATGATGTTATATGTAGTGATGATAGGTGGTGTTATATATAGTGATGATGGATGGCATTATATGTAGTGATGATGGATGGTGTTATATGTAGTGATGATGGATGTTATTATATGTAGTGATGATGGATGATGTTATATATAGTGATGATGGATGGTGTTATATATAGTGATGATGGATCGTGTTATATGTAGTGATGATGGATGGTGTTATATGTAGTGATGATGGATGATGTTATATATAGAGATGATGGAGGTGTTATATATAGTGATGATGGATGGTGTTATATATAGTGATGATGGATGGTGTTATATGTAGTGATGATGGATGATGTTATATGTAGTGATGATGGATGGTGTTATATGTAGTGATGATGGATGGAAATATATGTAGTGATGATGGATGATGTTATATGTAGTGATGATGGATGGTATTATATGTAGTGATGATGGATGGTGTTATATGTAGTGATGATGGATGGTGTTATATGTAGTGATGATGGATGATGTTATATGTAGTGATGATGGATGGTGTTATATGTAGTGATGATGGATGGTGTTATATGTAGTGATGATGGATGATGTTATATGTAGTGATGATGGATGGTGTTATAGGTAGTGATGATGGATGGTGTTATATGTAGTGATGATGGATGGCGTTATATGTAGTGATGATGGATGGTATTATATGTAGTGATGATGGATGTTATTATATGTAGTGATGATGGATGATGTTATATATAGTGATGATGGATGGTGTTATATATAGTGATGATGGATGGTGTTATATGTAGTGATGATGGATGGTGTTATATGTAGTGATGATGGATGGTGTTATATGTAGTGATGATGGATGGTGTTATATGTAGTGATGAGGGATGGTGTTATATGTAGTGATGATGGATGGTGTTATATGTAGTGATGATTGATGATGTTATATATAGTGATGATGGATGATGTTATATATGGTGATGATGGGTGGTGTTATATATAGAGATGATGGATGGTGTTATATGTAGTGATGATGGATGGTGTTATATGTAGTGATAATGTGTGACGTTATATTTAGTGATGAAGGATGGTGGTATATGTAGTGATGATGGATGGTGTTACATGCAGTGATGATGGGTGGTGTTATATGTAGTGATGATGGATGGTGTTATATGTAGTGATGATGGATAGTATTATATGTAGTGAAGATAGATGATGTTACATATAGTGATGACGGATGGGATTATATATAGTGATGATGAATGGTGTTATATGTAGTAATGATGGATGGTGTTATATACAGTATAGTGATGATGGATGGTGTTATATGTAGTGATGATGGATGGTGTTATATGTAGTGATGATAAATAATATATTATGTAGTGATGATGGATGGTGTTAAATGTGGTGATGATGGATGGTGTTATCTGTAGTGTTGATGGATGATGTTATATTTAGTGATGATGGATGGTGTTATATGTAGTGATGATGGATGATGTTATATGCAGTGATGATGGATGGTGTGATATGTAGTGATGACAGATGGTGTTATATGTAATGAGGATGAATGATGTTATATGTAGTGATGATGGATGGTGTTATATGTAGTGATGATGGCTGGTGTTATATGCAGTGATGATGGCTGGTGTTATATGTAGTGGTGGTGGTGACGGTGGTAGTGACAGTGGTAGTGGTGGTGATGGTGATAGCGATATGTTTGTGGCGATAGTGGTGGTGGTAGAGACTGGAAAATAGTATATGTAATGATGGTGGTGGTAATGATGATGGTGGTAGTAGTGGTGGTAGAGATGATGGATGGTGTTATATGTAGTGATGATGGATGGTGTTATATGTAGTGATAATGTGTGACGTTATATTTAGTGATGATGGATGGTGGAATATGTAGTGATGATGGATGATGTTGTATATAGTGATGATAGATGGTGTTATATATAGTGATGATGGATTGTGTTATATGTAGTGATGATGGGTGATGTTATATATAGTGATGATGGATGATGTTATATATAGTGATGATGGATGGTGTTATATATAGTGATGATGGATGGTATTATATGCAGTGATGATGGATGATGTTATATGTAGTGATGATGGATGATGTTACATATAGTGATGATGGATGGTGTTATATGCAGTGATGATGGGTGGTGTTATATGTAGTGATGATGGATGGTGTTATATGTAGTGATGATGGATGGTATTATATGTAGTGATGATGGATGATGTTACATATAGTGATGATGGATGGTGTCATATGTAGTGATGATGGATGGTGTTATATGTAGTGATGATGGATGATATTATATGTAGTGATGATGGATGGTGTTATATGTAGTGATGATGGATGATATTATATGTAGTGATGATGGATGGTGTTATATGTAGTGATGATGGATGATGTTATATTTAGTGATGATGGATGACATATATATAGTGATGATGGGTGGTGTTATGCTAGAGATGATTGATGGTGTATGTGTAGTATTGATGGATGGTGTATATAGTGATGATGGATGGGTGTATATACGTGATGATGGGTGGTGTTATATGTAGTGATGATGGATGGTGTTATATGTAGTGATGATGGATGGTGTATATATTGATGATGGATGGTGTTATATACGGTATATATTGATGATGGATGGTGTTATGTGATGGATGGTGTTATATGTGGTGATGATGGATGATGTTATATGTGATGATGGTTGGTGTTATATGTAGTGATGATGGATGGTGTTATATGTAGTGATGATGGATGATGTTATATGTAGCGATGATGGATGGTGTTATATGTAGTGATGATGGATGGTGTTACATGTAGTGATGATGGATGATGTTATATGTAGTGATGATGGATGGTGTTATATGTAGTGATGATGAATGATGTTATATGTAGTGATGATGGATGGTGTTATATGTAGTGATGATGGATGGTGTTATATGTAGTGATGATGGATGGCGTTATATGTAGTGATGATGGATGGTATTATATGTAGTGATGATGGATGATGTTGTATATCGTGATGATGGATGGTGTTATATATAGTGATGATGGATGGTGTTATATGTAGTGATGATGGATGGTGTTATATGTAGTGATGATGGATGATGTTATGTGTAGTGATGATGGATGGTGTTATATGTAGTGATGATGGATGGTGTTATATGTAGTGATGATGGATGGTGTTATATGTAGTGGTGGTGGTTACTGTGTTAGTGACAGTGGTAGTGGTGGTGATGGTGATAGCGACATGTTTGTGGTGATAGTGGTGGTGGTAGAGATTGGTTAATAGGAGTGGTAATGATGGTGGTGGTATGATGATGGTGGTAGTAGTGGTGGTAGTGATGATGGATGGTGTTATATGTAGTGAGGATGAATGATGTTATATGTAGTGATGATGGGTGGTGTTATATATAGTGATGATTGATGGTGTTATGTGTAGTGATGATGTATGATGTTATATGTAGTGATGATGGATGTTGTTATATGTGGTGATGATGGGTGGTGTTATATGTAGTGATGATGGATGATGTTATATGTAGTGATGATGGGTGGTGTTATATGTATTGACGATTAGACAATAAAATAATAATAGTTTAATGCTAAAAAAATATACTTTGCTGTGCCGTTGTAGTGAAAAACATGGTGGAACTTACATACACCGTTAATGAACTATTGATGGAAGAAGAAGTTTTGGGGACTGAACAGTGAGACAATGTAGAGCCTCCGGGAGGTTTGCGTCCTACCGTGGACTACCGGATGGGCGATTCTGCTCGTTTATTATAATTGTTTTAGAACCCTCAGATATGTCTTTTGTACATAAAGTAACAGTTCTGCACATACCTTAACCTCTTTTTATAAAAATAAGTGAGTATGATTCTTAGTTAAACGTTAATAAATATGTTTATATCTTGCTCATATCCTTGGGAGATATTGTTATAAGAATTCTTCCATATTTACAGCTGCTGGCATGTGCATCCACACAGAGCTGTGCAAGGGAGACCAGAGCGAATACATATACATCGCTGTCCACAGTCTTTCTTGTAGGAACACTTGGTCAGTTCTTGGCAGCTCGCTGCTATTGGTCTGTCCAGTGTATTTGCCACATATCTCCTTTCTTTTTCCTGGGCCAGTTAGCAAGACTTGGAATGTCTGGTTAGGCTACTGTTGCCTGACCCCAAATCATTCCACCTTGATAGGCTGCACGCTTTACATGTTCCTTCAGGGCAGACAGTGTTGGTGGAATTGCATTATATGATCTCTTTTTGCGAACAAATACATCAAGTCTTGCACCATTGACACATAAAGCTCGACTAGACTTGTCATACATCACCTCCACATACCTTTCCAACACACGGAGGTCTTCACTAACTGATGCAGGACACTGACTGAGTATGGTGAAGGTCCTCTATCATCAAGTAAGGTGAGGAATTTTGCCTGATGTTTGAGCATATCCTGCCGTATTATTGTTGTAGCCTTGGCCAAATGAACAGCTTCACTGTATTTGCCAACCTCAGCCAGGATGGAGCCTACACCCTCTTGGAATGCTAGCAAAACATCTCTTCCTTGATTGTGAGCTTCCAGTTGAGGAATATGTGAAACCAGTTGGTCCTTAAGTCTAGTACAGTAGAATGAACTTCAGGAGATTCGACACCAATTCATGTGATACCAAAACATCTATCACGTTGTATATTGTTATGCGATCAGCCCTGTGAGAGAAAATGTTTGGCATATCCTTCCGAGATAGTTCGTCTCGACACGAGAAAGCAGCAGACTAAAACACACTGAGGAAGTAACTTTCTCACTGATGTGGTTGGAGAGATAGACAGCAGTGTGGCAAATCTTGAAGGGCGGATGTTGTATCAGTAGACAGCCATCAGCCTCCTTCTTGTTATTGGATAACTCAACTCCTTGTGTGAAAAAGGAATGAGTGACCAGCAGAGTTCTAGCCATTACATCCAGCTCATGTGGTATCCCCGAGCTCAACTGTTGCTCCCTAGAATTTCAAAAAGGGACCAGGGAGTCAGCTACCAAACTGTGAAGTGGTCATTCCCCCAACACGCAAACACACATTACTGCAAGAGTAACTGTCGTGAAATAAAGTGCCACCTTTTCAAAAATAATAAATATGCCTTAAATAACATAATAGAAACCATGTTGATACTTTACCAACATGTTAAGAAGAGAGGTCAGAACCGTCAGTTTTCATGTGGTTTGTTTACCATACATAGATGCTTTCTGATATTTACATATCTAAGTTGTCCGCCATTGTTTCACTATTTTGCACTATTGTAATCACATTGGTAAGCCTTCCTCTATCTCCATGTTTAACTACACCACCTGTGGCATTTTACTATAAACATTTTAGCTCATCACTTCAATACATTTGTGACGTTGTAGATTACAGTACACTTTGCGTGTGATGGTGTATACGGTGTCTGGAGTGTCGGCGAATACATGAACTTTTTCTTTCACACACAAAGACAAAGCTGTAATTAACCGCACACCTTGCAGATAAGATAATGCAGACTGTTCTTCAGCATCAGCGTCCGGTTGTGGTACACGAAAACCAGCGCATAGGTACACACAAGGGTATGAGCTACCTAGACAGTGAACAAGAAGACGCTGACACAAAGCTATTCGTGCAAGCTGTGGATGCCACAAACTCAGTGTAATAAGTGTCCCCAGTCACTCTGCAGTCACGGAGGATTTTGTCCTTTCCCTAAGGCGGTATACTGACTTATGTGAGGACAATTCAAATGTGACAGGAAGTGGACAGCATCAGCGAGTGATCCCCTGAAGCATGTAGTGCAAGTGCTGGGTCCAAACAAACTGGCCGCCCCTCCTGTATTTCATGCTCTCAGTCGTGCGGAAAACACGGCTAGCTTTGCATGTAAAGGGAAACTTACCTGTTGGAAGGCTTTTCACACGGCAGGTGACGAAATTCTCACTGAAATTGCACACCTGGATACAAACCTAGAACTCACAAATGAAATATTAGCTGAGATCGAGAAGTTTGCATGTCAACTTTATCTTCTGAATACATAGATTTCCAAATTAAATAACTTAAAGTTATGTGCCATTTATATAGGTACAATGTGGATTGACTTGTCTAGTTCCCTTAATTATTGAAGGAAGGGAATTTATGGAGCACCAGGGCTGCATAGAAGGTTCAAGCATTAATAATTATATTAATTGAAAGAATTTTCCATAATAGAAAAACAAGAGGAATTCTAGAGTTAGACATAGTACATTTCCAATAGCTGAAGCATCACATAATCTTGGAACACAGTATAATAAATCATACCAGCAACAGCTAGATAGTACCAATGTAAATTATAATAAATACCTGAGGACGCCGCCGTAGACTGCCGCCACGAAGATCCCGGCCAACCCCGGCAAGTGACTCAGCTTGTCAGTCACCAAGAATGAAAATATTTGGTCAGGTTTTTCAATCTTGCCGGTAGTGAGCGGGTCACAATCACTGTAGGTGGCATAGGCGACGAGCCCCGAGAAGAAGAAGAGACTCCACAAGGTATACATCCCCACCAGGAAGACCATTACCAATCTGCAAGACAAACATTACATTGTTACTAATGTGACTTAACACACACATACATACAGGCCTTGTGTGAAATATAACAAAGTCTATGATTGCTTTTAGTGTCCTAGTGGTGTAAGAGGTAACGTTCCCCGGTCACACACATAAGATCGTGGGTTCGAGTCCTGGAGGGGTGAGGTTCTTGATTATATGTAGAAGTCCGCGTGCTTTATGGGTGTAATGGCGGTAACAATCTTCCTGCTCGTTACCGCTGCTCACTCGCTCGTTTGCTGGCGCGACCCCTACTTGCAAGGGGGTTGGATGGAGGTGAGGAGGTCACTGCTACCAGTGTCACTGGCAGACATTACCCAGATCTCAAACCAGTCACACCTCCCCTGCTGCTCTTCCAAATTCTGGTGGTGTTCTCAATAAAGGCTCTGGACTCGTGGGCTGTGTCCCCAGACCTTCACCTATCGACTGTCAATCTCTGGACACCTAACCCAAAGACTACTGCGGCTGCAACGTCCTCGCCAGTTCCTCTCCACCGTCGGCGCCCCGGTGTTTTTCCTGCTGTAGCAAGACATCAACCACCGCTGTCACTCGTGTGAGGAGCTGAATGGACCTCCCCCAAGGCCGCTGCCGTAGGAAATATCTGTTCATTGTTTGATTCTATTAATTGTTTGATTTCATTAATTGCTGACTCCCATTGATTGTTTGATTCCATTAATTGTTTGATTCCATTAATTGCCGACTCCCATTGATTGTTTGATTCCATTAACTGTTTGATTACATTAATTGCTGACTCCCATTGATTGTTTGATTCCATTAATTGTTTGATTCCATTAATTGCCGACTCCCATTGATTGTTTGATTCCATTAACTGTTTGATTACATTAATTGCTGACTCCCATTGATTGTTTGATTCCATTAACTGTTTGATTACATTAATTGCTGACTCCCATTGATTGTTTGATTCCATTAACTGTTTGATTACATTAAATGTTGAATCCAATTAATTTGTTGATTCCATTAATTGTTGATTCTCTTTAATGTTTGACTCCCGTAATTATTTGATGTTTGTTGAGTGGTGTCAGAGTTTTGTGTTATATTTTTGTAGTAAAGACATGTCAATCTCGAACAGTTGTTTGCTATTCCTCAGAAAACCATGGTCCTTGACTTTCCTTTATAAGATCCTGATTAGGCTGGTAAGGGAATTCTATCCCTAGGTCCCAGGCCTTTACATTGGGCTAATGAAATGTATATGGAACCTCGTGTTTCGAAGCCGCATTTGGTAAAACGCTACTCTCTGATCACTTAAGAGGTACGGGCAATTCCCTTGGAGGTTCACGGAGCCATAAGCTCGATGAACAGGCCTTGTGTGAAATATAACAAAGTCTAGAATTGCTTTTAGTGTCCTAGTGGTGTAAGAGGTAACGTTCCCCGGTCACACACTGTACCGGAGTGTTTAAAGGTTAGTTACTGTGCTCTCGTGTGGTGTGCTGGTGAAGGTTTCTGTAAACAAGTAAGTGTTAATACTTGTATAAAAATTGTAAGGTTAGGTGATTACTGTAAAAAATTGGAAACATGGCAGGAAATGTTGATAAATTTCAGGAAACCAATGATGATCACTTTTTGTACCAGTGTAATAAGAAGGAACTAATTGAGGTGGCATCTAGGTATGAAATTTTTATGAGGTCATATATTAAAAGTGATATGCAGAGAGAGTTAATTAATGGATTGATGTCTTTGTCAATATTGGAGGAAGTTGAAGGTGTTGGTAATTTTAGTGGTGGCTATAAACAGATAAATGAGCAAGTGGCAGTGGAGAAGTTAAAATTAGAATTTTAATTTAAGAAAATGCAAAAGTAGCTAGAAAGAGAAAGGGAGAAGATACAGGCAGATAAAGAGGTAGAACTGAGGAAATTAGAAGTAGAAGAGAGGAAAGGTATAAGGAGAGGAAATGAAAGATAAAGATAATGGAGTATGTCATTTACCTGAGTTTGTGGAAGAAGAAGCTGAGGAGTTCATTATTCAATTTGAAAAAGTTGCAACTATTAAAGAATGGGACAAAAGTGACTGGGCAATATTGGTGCAGAGTAAATTTAAGGGTAAAGCCATAGAGGCGTATGTGTGTCTGAGTATGTCAGAGTCTGTGGATTATGAGACTGTTAAAGAAGCAGTGTTGAAGACGGTGGAAATGGATCCAGAAGTGTTCAGGAGAAGGTTTAGGGACATTAAGAAAATTAGTGAACAAACTCATCTTGAAGTGGCTAGAGAATGTAGGATGAGATTTGATAGATGGTGTAAGTCTGAGGAAGTAAAGACTGTGGATGACATAAGACAGTTAGTCCTGTTGGAACATTTTAAAAGTCTTGTGCACCCTGAGATTACCGTAAGTATGAAATAAGTAAGAATAGAGCGAAGAATTTGATGAATGCGGCTAGGTTGGCTGACCAGTTAGCAGTGGCACACAAAATGTATAAGGAGGAGGTGTCACATAAACAAGGTGAAGTAAGGCATAATAGAAGCCAGAATTATGACAGAAATCATAAGTATCAGAACTATTCAAATGTTAAGCAGCCTAGTACAAATTATTTTAGGGGAGGTCCACCTAACCAGGTGTCACAAAATACTGTAGGGAATAGATCACAAGGTCAAAGATAATATAAACATCCAAGACCTCAGTCCAATTATAACCCTTGTATTAGTAGACAGGAGATACCACCAATGAAATGTTTTGCATGTAGAGAAATTGGCCTTGTTAAATATCAGTGTCAGAGTAGCCCAAAGTCTGCGGCATTAACTGTGAATTTTGAGCCATTTATTACTGAAGGGAAGGTTGGGATTAAAGGGAGTCCTGAGAAGAAAATTATAATATTGAGAGATACTGGAGCCAATCGGAGTGTGATTTAAAAATGTATTAGAGGGGACAGATGAATGAGTCTTACTCTGGTGAAGAAGTGAATTTAAGAGGATTGGGGTCAGGGATGACTGTCCCATTACATAAAGTAAATCTTGAGAGTGGATTTGTGAGTGGCATTGTAAAAGTTGGGATAAGTGTTGAACTTCCCGTACCTGGAGTACAGATGTTATTGGGTAATGATTTGGCTGGCGACTAGGTGGTCCCAGAGCTTATTATGTGTGAAAATCCATTTGATGAAGAGGCTACTGTAGAGGTGAACCATGTTGTGAAAAATGTAGATGTGTTGGATGATTCAAAGAAGTGTAAACCTGATGGTGATATACAGCATAATGAAATTGTGTACCCAGCTTGTGTTGTGACCAGGGCAATGTCAAAGAGAAGACAAGAGTTTGATGATGATTTGGAAATAGGTGATATATTTGGTGAAGAGGATGTTATGACCACAGATAATACAGTAGAGTTGGAAAATAATAAGGAGTGTACTGTAGAAGCGAAAATTCATGTACCACCAGATTTTGTAGTGGACAAGGAGGAATTAGTGAGGTTACAGACGAGAGTTTGAGGGAATGTTGGAGTGAAGCTGAGGGAAATGGGGGTGAGAGTGATGTATCAATTGGATTTTGTGTGCAATAGTGGTGTGTTAATGAGGAAGTGGAGGCCTGCTGATGCTCCAGCATCGGATCATTGGGAGGTTAGGAAGCAGATTGTTATTCCAAAGGAATATAGGGAACATGTTATTGCTTTATCCTATGATTCTTGTTTTTCTGGACATTGGGGAGTCAGGAAGACAACTGACAGGCTTCTAACTCAATTTTATTGGCCTAATATAAAGAAAAATGTATCTGAGTACTGGAAAACTTGTGAGATATGTCAGAAAGTGGGCAAGCCCAACCAGATTATACAGCCGGCACCACTGAGAGCATAAATAAGTGAAAAAGCATGTAAATCTTTAATGTTGCCGGACCAAGTAATAAGTAAAATTATATCAAGTTGTTGTAAAATATTCTCCTCGTTCTAGGCTGCCGTGTGTACCTCACGTCTCGCTTTGATTAGGAATTATAACTATTGTTTTTTGTAGATTTACCTCCATGTTTAATACGCCTTACTGTCAATGTACTGTACAGTCAGGGGCATTAATTGCTACGTCCCTAGTAGCTGGAGCCATTGCAAGTGAAGGCCTGACGATCGGACAAAACCCCTGTGTAAACGTCGCTGGGTAGTTTTGAAACTAGTACTTGGAGTATCAAGGTTGGCGATGTGTCATTATCGGCCTTCACTGGCTCCTGACGTTAGTGAGGGGGGTAGTTATTAGTGTTTCTGACTGTATCATGTTTATGTTTTTGGTTGTGAAAACTGATGAAACATATCAGTTGAGAATAATGTTCATTTCCCCCTCGTTATCAGTTAGCTCACGGGTAAGCTGGCTGTTTGGTCCTTTTCTTTTTATGATCTTTCTTTGTGTTTCTTATATCTTTCTTGATCCTTCTGGTTAATTTTGGGGGTTGAACGTCACCTTGTTTTTTTTTATATTATATAACAAACTGTTAGCCAGTTTGCTCCCTACGTCGTCATTATAGGTGAAGTTTTCTCTTCGTGACACAACTGGATCTATAATATATTTTTCCCCGGATAAGGTTCAGTTATATTTTGACTTAACAAACAGTCCTGGACAGTTTCAAGGAAATCCTATGACGCGGAGTTACCTGTAAAGTCAGTCCAATATATTTGACTTGAGTTAAAGTCGCCTACTATACAGACTTAGCGGTATCATGTCTGGATGCCTGTCATATTTCATCCCAAATAAGTCGTCCATCAACACTATCAAGTTTAGCAGGTCTATATATTACTCCTATGATTAATTTTTCTCTACCATCGGTTAATTATCTCCAAGTTGTTATTATATTCAATTCAGTTTTAGTTTCCTATTTAATGCCACATTTCAAATTATCCCTGACATGCTGCCCCGCCTCTTCTCCTGTTCTTCCTATCCATATGAAATAATACATATCATTTAATTTGATATTCGACAGGTAAGTTAATCCAGGTTTCAGTTAAATCTATTATATCGATTTTTTCCATACATACCAGAGCTCTGATTTCTTTCATTTTATTTTTAATGCTTCTACTGTTCACTTTGTAAAGATTTAACCTCGCCAAGATCTGATTCTTTTCTCTGTTGTGGCTTAACTCCCTGACTAATGTCACTTTATTGTCATTGTTAGCACAATTTATAGGTAACCTATTGACACGTGTATCCCTGTGCCCACTGCAGTCTCCTCGACCCCCGTGCTCGCATGGTCCTTTGGCAGTTTAAAGACCTGGACATCTTTTCAACCACCAGATAAATGCACCCTATACCTTTGCGCTATAGAAGTTTTCCTAGGTGTCAGTGAATGGAGCTCTTCTCATTTGTGATCCGTGCTGGGGATTAAACCCAGGACATAACTGTGAGAGGCACGTGTGTTACTGCTGTGCTGCCAGCACCCATGGTGGTATTTATGAATATTCTAAATATTTGTCACGGTAGATCTAAGTGCTACTTATAAAATTACATAATGTAAATAGAACATTTGTTTTTATAACATGATTGATGTGTCTCTTGAAAGATGGATAAATTTTCAATATAGTTTTTCTTACCTTTGTGATGTCTGAAGCGTCCTCACAGATGCTAATCTCTGGAAGGTGTTTTGGTTGAAGCCGATGATAGAGACCGCAAAGTAACAGCCGTAGACCACAGTTGACATCAGAGTGTGGCGCTCAAAAGGGCTCGTGTCGAGGCTGAAGCAAAGTAAATATGTTTTGTGCCACATGTTTCATTCACTCCTATGAAATGTATTTGTGCCAGTATACTGTATGATCCCCTTCCTTCTATTTATTTATTTATTTTTTGCCCATTATCAATGTGAAGGATCATTTTGCACAGCACATGGTGTCCCTCACTCCTCGTTACTAATATTGAAAACTTCACCCTCTAAAAAGTGATGTCTACAGAATGGTGGGTAATGTGCTCTATACACCAGTAATTACCAGAATGAAGAAAGGAAAAAAAAGTTACACACCCTTACAAGAAAAGAGTGAGAAGCCAGTTCTTTGGAGATTTGGGTGGCCTTTGGGGGGCCTTTATAACTGACCAAAATTCGCCAAATACAACAATAAGTTTTCTACATTCACTGTTATATTCCTTCTCCTGTACTAGCTAATTGAAAACCCGATGTATTATTGTCCAGACAGGCAAAGGTTATATTTACAATTAAGAACAAGAACAACATGAAAATACAGGAAACAAATAAAAACACTCCTACCTAATATGTGGTAAAACCTCCTAAACACCGGAGGAACCATCTTACCTACTCATGGAAGATATAATCCATCATCGTGCAGTCTGAGGACCACAGGATCAGTTGGGGAAAGGACAGGGGTGACCAACCCAGAGACAGGAGAGCGAGTAAGGAGAGCTTGGGCGAGGAAGGTAACTACTCCCACAATGTAACACCCGGTTTACATGAGCAAAATCAAAAGTGTAGGAATTGAAGAAACATGATGAGAATATTAATGTAATATAACTAGCAACATTATAAACACATGTTAACTTAAAATTTAGTCAAAAGTTATAAAGGAAATACAAATATCACTACTGGGCAACTCTCCAGGAACGCTCCCAGGTTGACACGCCACCTAAACATGACCTTGATAACAACTAGATTTAATTTGAGGTTTGATCTCAACCTGACATGGTCAGACAGACCTATTACGCCTGATTAAGGCCTCTTTCACATGATCATTATTTTTGTCACGAGACAGAATGTACTTGAATCTAGTGAACAAAAAGTCAAGCTTTCATATGGACGTTTTCCTGCCATGCCTCAGTTGAGCTCCATCTGTTCAAGACGGAGAATCCCACAACACAGAGATAGTGAAGGAAATAGATTAAGTGAGATCGTAATGACTAGTAACGATGTTAGTAAACAAACAGATATTTGCCAGAGTATTAAAGGAATGTATGGAAGAGCATAGTAAGCCCTTAACAAACTTGTTTAACATGCATTAAAAACGAATGTAGTACCAGAATCCTGGAGGATACCGAATGTAATACCGATTTTCAAGAAGGGAGATAGATCACTATCCTCTAACTACCGTGCAGTCAGTTTAACATCAGGTGTAGGCATATGACTGGAAGCAATAATTTCAAACTCTATTCAAAATCACCTGGAGAAACACAAATTGATCAACGAATCCCAACATGGCTTCACAAATGGGCGTTCATGTCTGACAAATCTATTAACATTCTTTCCAACTGTTTTCGAATCAGTGGACGACGGGCATGGTTACGATGTGGTTTACCTCGAATTTAGCAAAGTCTTTGACAGGGTACCCCATGAAAGACTAATACATAAAATGGAGGCCCATGGCATAGATATAGGCGTAGACAGCAACTTAAGTAAATTTGCTAATGACACTAAAATAGGGCGTGTAATTAAATAAGACGAGGACTCCGCAAAACCACACGAAGATCTAAAAAGAAATGCAGGGTATGAAAAATGGCAGATGAAATTTAATGTAGACAAATGTAAAGTACTTAGTCTTGGAGATGTAAACAGAGAAAGCAGACATCAGATGAACAACGTTGATGTAGAGAAATCCGACTGTGAGAAAGATTTTGGTGTAAAGTTAGGTAGGAATGTTAAACCAAGACAACAAATGCACATTTGCTTGAAACGTGGCTAACAAAGTACTTGGGTTCATACAAAGCAGAGATAAGTCGTTTATTGTAAGTCGTTTTCGATGCACGGATTACCTAACGTGTTAGCTATTCTGTATGCACAGACGCTGCTTTTGACTTGTGCGCATGACACACTCAGAGGGAAAAGCTAACACCTCGATCAGGCGTCAGCCTTGCACAGCGCCCAAGCGGCCCAAATAGCTAATAACCAATCAGAGAGTTCTCTCATTGAAAATACGAGGATCATGGCCGTTTATGGAGAATGTTTTGATTAATATTGAAGAGTTGAGGGCATGTAAGGCAATAAAAAAGTGTGATATAAAAATAAAAATAATTCTATATACAGTAGTATATTGGATTACCTAAAACAAAGCGCATGGCGTGAAAAGATGAAAAGAATTGCGCCTAGTTGAACACCTGTGAAGCAAAGAAATATGTGTTTATAATATGTATAGACTACACTTATAATATATAAATATAATATAGTAAGAACATAAAATATATACTCTGCAGGTAATGCTTATTAAAATAGATAATTACATAAAAATAAGTGTCAGGAAAGATTTTTTTTTTTTTTGGGGGGGGGGCAACCCCCTACATCCTTGTGTAAGGTGAAGCGCAGAAGCGTTTACAGCGCCCAACAGGGAAGCATGCTGAGTTCATGCTTGCCTTTATGTCTCACGATTTAAGGGCGTAGAAGCCTGAAGAGTCAGTGGTTTATGTCATCCAGTTATTGGAAGCTCCAACAGCTTGTCCCTGAATACGAATTCGCAACTTTCGACTTACGGCAGGTACCTACTTTACTGCTAGGTGAACAGGGACTAATGGGGGCTAGGAAGTAAGTCCAAACGACTTCCACCGGCCCGGGAATCGAACCCGTGACATCTCGCTTGCGAGGCAAGAACGGTACCGCTTCTACCACCGGTCCCCCTCAGGAAAGAATGAATTGGCAACTTAACTACAACCACAGCTGCCACAAGATTTTCACACAAACTTTCTTCATTATTTAAGTCAATATACGATCATTTGGAAACCTCTCAGTATCTTAAATAATAATTAATAGTTTAATATTATAAAACTGCTACCTTTGGTTTAATTGTTTATCAGTTAACCACATCCATAATGTGAACTGCCTATGTATTGCACCTGTATTTGGAAGTATTTTTAATGTCAAAGTAAACGCATATTTATGTGAGAGAGAGAGAGAGAGAGAGAGAGAGAGAGAGAGCAACCGATAAAATATATATCGTATTATTAAGGACATCAGATATCAACATCTTAATGAATATCAAAATATAGCTGTTAAACTCTAGTCCAGGGAAATTAGACAATTTTTATGCCAAATGTTGAACTTTTCATAATGAAATGATCCTTGGTAGAATTATTGGGAATACGTTCGTAAACATCTTACTGAACAGCCTGACCGATCTGAGGTAAGCTTTTGCCGCCATCTTGAAAAAATGGCAGCCATTCGCGGTTTTTCATGTTTTACTCATTAACCGTTGATTTTAGGGAGATGACACTTAATAACAAAATAAAAGAGCGTAAAATTCTGCACATTTGGTATCTTCAGCTTTTGTGTAGGACTAATACATTTTGATATAATAAACATTTTGTTTCCACCTCTAATTTTGACACTTTAATGTTCCAGTGGTAAAAAACAACAAGAATATAATGTCTGTTTTGCTTTTTTTATTTTTTCAGGTACTAATAAGGAATGAACATTTGATACTGACCTTAATTATCACAACGGCACTGAATTTGACTCCCAAACTTCATGTGTAACTACAAATACTGAACAAGTTACAAAGAAAATGAAACTGTCATAAAAACACTAATCCTGGAACAGGTCTACAAGGGATACCACATTAAAAAAAGACGCTCCACGTACTGGACCTCATGGCTGGTGTGGAAAACGGTACCAGATGATGTAAAAATAGCGAAGGGTGTGGCCAGTAGTGAAGATTGTTTTTCTCGGAAAGTATTAATCGTACACAAAAGATGAATATACCAAAATGTGCACAATTCTATGCTCCCAAAAATCAACAGTTAATGAGTAAAACATCAACAACAGCGAACGGCCGCCATTTTTTCAAGACGACGACAAAAACTCTCCTCAGATCGGTCAGGATATTTGGTATGTTGTTTAAAAACGTATTCTCACTCTTACTACCAAGTATTATTTCATTATGAATTAGTTCAACTTTTTCCTAATTTCCCCCGACTACTCTAACACTGCTGTAGTTAACAATCTCACCACCATCCTGTCACTTGCCAAGCCTCACTGTTGCCGAGTGTACCTCCTTAAGATGGAAAACTTCTTTCTAGTAGGTGGCTTAAGTCATACATGTTATATGGGCAATGTAGCATTATATGAATGAGTGTTAATATATTACCAGTGTAGCTGTCACCGTTATATCCCGTACGTCCCTGTGAAAGGTTCCGCTGAACTCCATTCATTTCTAAGTGCCGTGTGATAAAAACTTGTGAAAGAGGCCTAAAACCTATTTAGGGGTACACTTCTGGTGCCAGCCTGTAAGAGGCTTACACAAATAGGACCCGTATGTGTCTGAAATACGAAATCGTTAAGGTTAGATGATAGGCCTATGACACAAGTATGTAAGCTCACTTGAAAAATTGGATGCGTCCACTTCGGTCTGCAATGGCCCACACTTTGTCAACGCCGCCCAGGCCAATACAACAGAGGATCACCACCACCAGCACCCCGCCAAACACGAGCAACGTTTGCAACACGTCTGTGTACACCACAGCCTTTACACCACCCTGAGGGAAAAAGTTATAATACTAACAGTGTTTACCACCTCTTCCTACCAACCTTACCAAATGAACATGGCTTCCTTCAATGATCATTGCGACGGCCTTCAGACCCAGGAGTTCAGAAAATATTTTCACTGTATACCAGTGTATAAATATGTAGCATTATTTCTAAAAAAATTCCCAAGAGCTAATGTGGTTTAAATATCCTCCCATAAAAGACAGATATCTATATGATCACTTTGTCATTGTTAACACAGTTTCTTATAAACACCCAAGAACCAGCACACCTGCAGCTACACTGACGTCCATGCTCGAGTTACGACTGTGATGTGATCAGTGGTAGAAAAGTAGCCAAGTTACTAAAGAATTTTTTTAAGGATTGTTTGCACAAAACAAATAGGTGATAATACTCCAGAATATTTCATCCTGCTCAACCTACAAGTTTACGTAAAAAAGTGTAATATTATACAAAAGTCAATGATTACCATTTGTTTACGGTATATATTGAGGGAGATTTTCCCTTGCAAGGAACTTTGAAGGTACCTTGACTGATTCTTTGTACAATACATAGAAAAAATATGCATTAAGCATAATATTAGATACTACTGAACTGTGAGAGCATAATTCTGTCTGTCATGGCCATTTTCAACGCTCTACCACACTCTCGTCCTTAGATAATGTCTGATGTCTCATTTTTTCAGCTTTGATCTTTTTGGACTCATTATATAAGATTTTGGGTGAAATCTACAGAAATAATCACACACATACATACTTAAACAACTCTCACTACATGCACGCATAGATCAATACAATCGGCTAAGTACCAAGCTCCATAACTGAGGAATATGCAGTGTATTGAAACTTGTCTGCAAATATAAAAGATTCTCGTTAATTTCTGCTCTACTGGAAGCAACTCATGTGTGCAGTATTATTTTTGTTTCATGAAGGTATTGTGAAAAAAAAAACGAAACACGTAGTGATAAATTGAATTGTGATAAATCGAAACTGCAATAAACAAGTTATACCTCTATTGCTCCACCTTGACACTCCTAAATTGATCCTTTGAAAAGTAAACATATTGATTCTTTTCCACAATGAGGCTAAAAGAGAAGCCATGAGGATATTTCTGGTAAAATGTTCCCATAAAAGTTTTTTGATATTAAGAGCATGATAAATATGCTATGATTATTTTGTACTATGAAAGGTTTATATAGTATAATCTCGAGATTCATTTATTAACTATATATGTATAAATTATTACTACAGGTCTCTGTATTTGGTGCACACCATACTTACAATTGTGATGTAGAAGGTACATATTGTCCCCATGATAAGTGTGGATGCCCAGGTAGCGAGGCCCGTGACTGTAGACAGAGCTAATGTTGGAGCATAGAGGCAGATGCCCATGTAAATGAAAGCAGAGAGAAGACTACACAGAGTTGACAGCGTCCTTAGCAGTCGTGACTCAAACCTCAGCTCTATATACTGTAAGAAACATATAGTGTCATTAGTCTATTTGTGCCCTCACAGGCTCCAAGCTGAATGCAAGCAAGCAAGCACCTTCCTCCTTCCCTCTCTAATCCCCACAAGGATTTTTATTTGATCTTTAGAGCAGCCACTTCTGTATTCATGTTATTATTATTATTATTGTTTTTATTATTATTATTATTATTATTATTATTATTATTATTATTATTATTATTATTATTATTGTTATTATTATTATTATTATTATTATTATTATTATTATTATTATTATTAATATTATTATTATTATTATCATTATTATTATTATTGTAATTGTTGCAAGTGGTATTTTAAATTATGGGTACAAGGAAGCCGTATGCAGAGAGTCAGCTCATATATTTGTGGGACTTATACTCTATTTTTCATCCATGTAATTTGTACACTTGGGGTGGATAAGCTGATAATGTACATTAAGAGAAAATTACTCTACTCGAATCGTTCAGAAAATGACACACAAACATTTCTCAGAATGTATATAAACATTTCCCTGAGTCGACGCCCTCCTATTTTACCACATTTTGTCTAAATATACTTCAAAGAATGTTTATTCCACTACTGCAGAAATCTTTGATGAACGCTACAGAATTATTTCATTTTTTTTTCTGTATTCATCAACTAAAATGAGCGCGTATAAAAAGTCCAACAAAATATAATCTCCCCAGCAGTTTTGTAACAACAGTGTTGAGGGTAAGTTAGTTCTGAGGTCTTTTTTTTTTACGAGAATTAGCCCACCTGGGCACAGGTCGAATAAATAAGAGTAAAAATAAATAAAAAATATAAAATAACAATATTATATTATTCTACACCACGAAGACGCCGCAAAAACAGCTTTTTAAAGTGAGACAGATTATATGAGTATGGGAACACACAAGAAGGCAGAGCATTCCACAGTTTGGATGTGTGAGGAAAGAAGCAGGTACTATAACGGGTTATTCTCGTGTGACCGACATCCACAGGGAAACGGTGGGCACCGCGGGCAAGACGTGTGTTATGAGCCCACGGCCTTGCCGGCGGTACACAGGATGTCAAATCCACCGAACCGTGCCCGTTAAAGAACCTGTAAAAGAGAGCGAGTGAAGCAACATTGTGGCGAAGAGAAAGGGAAGAGAGATTATCAACTATAGGAGGAGAGTTAATAAGACGAAATGCCTTTGATTCCACCCTATCTAACAGTTGGACAGAAGAAGAGCCACCCCAGATATGAGAGCAGTACTCCAAATTAGGACGAATGAATCCATTATATACTTGAAGCAATTGCTGAGGAATGAAGTAACTACGGCATCTGTACAGCATTCCCAGCTTTCGGGAGGCGGCTTTAGCAGTGCTGAGGATGTGTGGCTTCCATGACATACTAGAGGAAATGGCGAGGCCTAGCGTATCCTGAATGTCAAAAATTGTGATAGGCAGAGGCGGGAAAAGAATACTGGGTGTCCACATAGCACAATAACAGTTCTCTCACCGTCAGTACCGTCTAGACCTACCAGACGTTAAAGCCCCTAAAGAGATGGAAAGGCAGATAAACAAAAAAGTTATCACAGAGGAATCCCACCATGAACACCGCCATCTCCTGGTTCACACTCAGACACATTTCTTTAATACCAGGCAAATTAATTTGGGTATTATTCTCATGTTTGAGCTTAAGTCAACCAGTTAGGTACATTATAACATCTTCAGTTATTAGGAATATTTATTGAATGAACATTTAAGAACCACTAAACTACACCACGTGTCGTTCTGTAGCGCTAATAAGGTAAAATTCTTGGGGACTGTCCCAAGTGCCACAACCCCCCCCCCCCCTCAGCCACATATATTTTCATATTTGTTTGATGTCAGCTGCCACAGATTTTTTTTTTTTTTTTTAAGATAAAGATCCAAAATTTGATCCGCTCATGTATACAGCAGAGTTGGGGGCTGGTGGGCCAGCCTCTGTCGGCCCACCATCTTTGATGATGCGTTTGTGTGTATGTTTTTTCCTCATCCCTTTTAACACAAGAGTTAAAATTTGGTATGTTTATGTAAGTGACGGTGTAATCTGGGGTCAGCCCTATTGGTATTTGGTGTGTTTATGTTAACTTTACCTTGTTAAAATTAAACCTGGGCAACACAACTGTAATATGTAAACAAATTAAGAATATTTGTTAGGGTGACCCATCTACTGACCTCGTGAATAGAGACGATTCTCAGGTTGTACAAAATCGGGATTATGACTATGCTGACGAAGAAACAGCCCGGAATAGCGCCCAGCAGAATCATGGCGATCTGAGTACCAAAGAAGTATATCTCCGTGGGATTACCTGGAAAAATTTGGGATTTCAATACTGTGGGTGTTACATCTTGTAGGTGTTAACTGGTGTGGGTGTTACATCTTGTAGGTGTTAACTGGTGTGGGTGTTACATCTTGTAGGTGTTAACTGGTGTGGGTGTTTCATCTTGTAGGTGTTAACTGGTGTGGGTGTTACATCTTGAAGGTGTTAACTGGTGTGGGTGTTACATCTTGTGGGTGTTAACTGGTGTAGGTGTTACATCTTGTAGGTGTTAACTGGTGAGAGTGTTACATCTTGCGGGTGTTAACTGGTGTGGGTGTTACATCTTGTAGGTGTTAACTGGTGTGGGTGTTACATCTTGTGGGTGTTAACTGGAGTGGGTGTTACATCTTGTAGGTGTTAACTGGTGAGGGTGTTACAT